TTAACGCATATCGATTTCAATTTAAGGTATAACCAAGTATTAATAGACTATTTGAGTTCATGATGATATTCGATCTATATGCAGGGTAATATTTCAAGGTGAGGAAAACGTTTTGGACATGCCTAATTGTAGTGGCACAGCTACTGTAACATCAAAATGTCATTAAAACCGCGATAATCTCAGCCATTTCTCCCTCCTCGTTTCTTTTATTACCCGGCAAAGTGATGGAAAAAGGACGGGCGGTTCTCGATATGTTTTATTCATTCTCGTTCCGTGCAGTACTAGTAGTATCTGTAGCAAGTGAGTAGGTGAAAAATTTGGCGTTTAGGACGACAATATTGTAAACTGTGTCATGAAAATGCGGGATTTTATCATGTGTGAGCAATAAGGATCAGTGATTGTGTACTTTTTTTCCGCGTCCTTAAAGCTGCGTAGTTTATGTCTTGTGTTGTTGAACGTAATGTTAGCTTAGCGTTTCCGCGTTCGTAGTTCTCAAAAGAACAGGCAACCCGTCCAATATTGCTCAGCGTGGCCTTTCAACACCCGGTAGTTGATGTATTGTTTCTTGTGTATAGATTAAATGCGGCGTTAAGATAAATAGAGACAGAGCATCGTGAGGGTTCGGCGGCGAGTGTGGCAGGGGAGGGCCCGTCCTTTCAACGGGGTTGTCGGGGTCGGCGCGCTGAAAGGACCCGGAAGACCTTTTTCTCTGACGTTTTGTGATCTTTTGTGGCGCGGTTGTTCACAGGACTGTTGTTGTAAATCCGAGGCCCGTGACTTGTGCAAAATGTTTCCTCGATGCCTGCTTCCCCTGGGTCGCATATGAACAACTCCAGTCCAATCTTCATACAGAGATGACACCATTTTGTGACTAATGCAGAAAAGGGAAACTGAAAGCGTTTTAGCGATGTCGTATAGCTAAAGCCACAGAGCTAGTCCCGTGGGGTTTTGTACTCTCACTTTTCCTGCCATGTGCACCGTGAAAATTTGCCCACAACGTCCATTGTTGGGGACCGCACTCTTAGCGAGATTGAAACGTAACCGGAGCACCAGGTCCTAACAATGGCAGGCGTCCCCGCACGCGACGCAGCCCGACGGCTCGGGTAGGAGACGCACCCGACGCCACCTACGTCCGTCCCGGGGGACCGTCTGGTACAGCCCGCCCGCAATAAGCGTTGTACCGGGCCAATTTCTACAGGCTAATCCCAATCTTACACCACCACCCTCAGAAATCGAAGCAAATGATCAGAATTATCGAGTGAAGAACAGGACAATTTCTCCGCCATCCATCAGCCCGAAATGGTTATACGACTCGGAATCAACCGAATGAATAACTTTTATAGGAAATTGGGAAAATATCTCCTCCCAGGGGCGCCATCGAGCCGCGAAGTGGGGTAGAATATCGTCGGGAAATTTCGACGCCATTATCTACGGTCGGTGGAGATCGGAGAGATATTTCAAGTGTAAACCGGGAGATAGGTTGGAGTCGGAACTGCCCCGTCCCTAACAGCAAACATTTTTCTTCATAAGCGGTTCAGCTGCGGGGCTGGAGTAGCAAATCTCTGTACGTGTCGGCAGATTCTCCCGCCTGACGTAAACTAGCTCGCTCAAAACCAGGTCAACGTAGGACCTTTTATAGCTCACCCTGGCGCACAGTCTATCCCGACAAATCCCATCACAATTAACCTTTCACTCGCCGCCTGCGCCTAGCAATGTTCTTCTTTTATTATTAAGTTGTTATTCAGAAGAGTGCATAAAATCGTTCCTAACGTTCAAGGCGAAGCACTGGAATCGTAGATAATCTTATACGATACCGCGGCAGGGTTGGAGGAGAGGGGGACACTCGGTCGTGTACGCTGCCAAATTACATTACCGTTAACCTTTGGCGGTCCGCCGGTGTCCGGTTCGCGGACGTCCGTGCCGGGTCCAGGACTAGGGAACGTGGGAACAAACCTCCCCCTACCTGCCCGGCACTCCCACCACGGGCCGGCGGTACCGTACAGCTAGCCTCTACCAGGCTCCTCAGGGGGGTGCAAAAATAGTCAAAATTGGCCAAATAGACGGAGTAGTATACCAGAGGAGTTAGCCGGCTGGAGGGTACTGTTTTCAACCTGGGGAGCCTGGTAGAGGCTACGACTATACACCAACCAGTGCTTACAGTAGTTGCGTCTTATATACATGTATGTCGGGTGTTCTTCATAAGAACTTCATTCCTCTATACGTCTGTCACTAGTGGTTACGATACGCACAGGGCACACATATTGCGTAGATGAATGTGTTAGGGGCAAGGTATATAGAAAATCTCTACTTAATAGACTAATGTCGTGATCCACGTCATATGCTGTCAGCTGAACGAGTAGCTAGATTCCGTAAGACAGGTGACATAGTTTTACATATACCCTCAACAGTTCTGTCACAATGTGTTTAAATGAATGAATGAAAAAGCTAGGGCGCCTGTTTACATACATTACACAGTCTGCTGCAATATCAGAAAGCACCCAAAGGGTCAACTCTAAAATGCAATAATGTCGATAGAAATGACACTCGTCGTTTACCCTAAATAGAAGCATCTATGTGTAATTCTTTAGTTATTTAGGGAAGGAACATCTATTTGCTGAGAGCCACATGTTCTGCTTTCATGTGATAGGGAAGTCGGACAGTTTACATTCCGCATGGCGCATAGCCAAAACAGTTTACCGCGCCTTTGAAAACACCACGATTTGGTAATTCTTCAGCCAATAGTTTTGGTCCTCCATTCGGGGTAAGTAGTAAACAAAAAGGGGAATTTGTTGTTTGCTGCTTTGTCGTAAGATGCATAATATAAACATGGTGGCTCTCTGCGTTAAAAATTTCTGCTGGATTTACTCACATCCTTTATAAGCGGTCAGGAATCGAACAGGTTTAAATCTCCCTGTAGGAAAAGAAGTGGCCGCGCCGATTTTATGTCATCAAACAATCCCGAATAATGCAGCCGTAATACCTCTTAAATACCAACAAGCTATGCGCATCCACGGCGACTGACCACACCCAAATGTAATGTTCTTAAGAAGAGATAAAGAGAGATTTTCTCATTTGGCTGCGGTGATTGTGCCAGAAGAGCGTCCCAAATCCCGTGTCTTACAAGAGATAGAGACGCATTACACTTTGTCGTGCTGGTATTCTGTGTTGTTGTTCGTTAAACTAGACACGCCCTCGTCGCTGTAACACCTGGGCAGGTTATTTGGGTCGTCTTGCCACGCCTTAGTTTTATCTGTCCGAGCTATCTAGTCAAAGATAGCCTTCCGCAATTACTAAGGAATAGGGCAGCTTGTAGGCCAATTATTGTCGGAAATGTGGGTGCTCCGGCCTATCGACCACGGCTCAGTTTCCATCAGAACTTATTACGAAGGTCTATCAGTTAACGTAGGCAACTGAAAATGATGGGACGTAAAATGTTCCAGGTTGGAGAGGGGGGTGGCTTAGTAAACCTCCAACTGGCGATGAAAAATGGTTCGTACAAGCATGAAACCAGACAGCTGTATAATCTGCCTATAGAGGCATGTAACAAAGAGAGGTGGGGGTTAGAACACCAAAGTAGAAGGGCACGCGCGGACGCAGCGGGCGGGCTGGTCCACCTGCTCGCACCGATGCATTTTCTCGTGCGGACGGCTTCTATTGTCGGGGGATTTCTCGGTCTCTGTGCGACGGAAACCCGACCCGACACAGGTCAGGGGCACCGACACGACGAGGCGAGAACGCCAGGGCGGCGGTAGGCCACGCGCGACCGCGGGGAGGCCGTGTCCACCTGCGGGTAGCCACCGGTGGCCGTCCGTTCAATTTGGTGCGTTAGATGTTTGGTTCGGCGCTGCTGATTCTAGATGACAGGCTCTGGTGTGGCAGAACATCAGGTAGACAGGCGACGCTGAGCGCCAGTCCCCCACACCGGCTCCAGTTTGCACCGTGGTTTCCTATAGATGGACATAAACACCACCTATGGCCTCGAATGCAGCCTCAACTTTGACAGGCCAAGGCCAAAAAATAACACACAGAAATCATACCGCTTCCTTCCTGAATAATCTTATCTGTTTCCTCTATTAGAGAAGTGTTCTCAGACTGGTGTCCATAATATGGCGACACATGCTAATATATCATAATATAGACACGAAGGTTCTGATAATGGCTTCAGTAAAGGAGAAAATTGGGCAGAATGCGGTCTGTAGTCGTCGACTCTTCCTGGACACATGAAAGACGGGGTTACGACCCCTTCCCAAACACAGCCCGTCCCCAGGTCACCCTGCTGCCTACACCTGGCCCCACACCGGCGGCCAGGCGGCTACAGTTGGGCCAACATGGGAACGAGCTGGGTAATTAGACTCTCGTCCACATATTTTATACATTGTTGATTTCAGCAAGGGAATTAAACATAATGTCCTTGATTTCAGCAATGGCGTTGAAGAGAGGGAAATGAAAATCAAGAGAAGAGAACTTTTATTTCAAAAGGGGTAATGCACACATGCAAAGCACCGACAGAAAAGAATGAATGGATGACCTGTGACATTAGAGTTGACAGAACTTTTAAGAATACAGCTATTAACGTCAGAGAATTTACTTAAAACCCATTTTCCCGTGGAACGTTGCCAGCTCTCCACATGCAACAGAATCGATCTCGGATGGCGAATCACTTAGGACCGAGCACGGAAAATATTTGCGACTCTCCCCGCGGTTGTCGCTTGGCTTCCTTAGATTTTTACCTGACAGGACAAGGCACGAACAGGCTGTAAATAAAAGCATACAGACAAGAAGGTGGTTCTGTTCACGCTTTCAAAGAAGGGGTAATTAGTCCCTTTTACCCCCCCCCCCAAACAACACCACCAACACAGAATTTTAGCCAGTACGTGGTGAGAGGTGCCATCTGAAGGCATTTCCCAAATGTGTCCGTACACGAATGCTGTAGTCCGATGTATGTTGTTGGTTTGGTAGAGACAACACTGTAGCTTCCACATACTCTCGCCCATGCACAGGATGACTCGTAATCTCGTCCACAGGATTGTCCGAAACAAGGCGGCGGAAAAGGCCAAGCAGTCACCCCATAGTCCCCAGCAGTCACCCCAGGGCGCAGGCACGCCCAACTCCGTGGGGCCCATGGCGTCCGGACCCGTGGCTACCTCCGCGTCCAACAACGCTCCCGGGTCGGACAGCGCGCAGAACGGGTCGTCCTACAGTATTAACGGCATCCTGGGCATTCACCACAGCAACCCTGAGAAGGTCAAGCGAGAAGGAGACAGAGGTAGGTTCACTCCTCTACATGACTAATTCACGTCGTCACGTGTACATTCATACATGTATTACTACTATACTGGATCATAAGCCCTCTAATGTCCAAACCTGGGCCCGGCCGGGCTGTTTGCGTGAACGAAAATAAGCAATTCATGTTGAGAATATACACAAATAGTGCTTATTACCATTTTTCATAATTTTTGTGTTTAAAAAAAGTTGTCTTTTTGTTTGCCGCAAACTGCCCGGCCGGGGCCCGGGCTTAGCATAGTGGGGCCGTACGTGTGCCCATGATAACTGCATAGACATAAGAAGGCTGCATCGCGCTGCGTTTCTTTATCAGTAGTTTATACTCGAGCCTGGATGGTTGAAATGTTTAACAAGGTCGAAAAAAATACCCGAAGAGAACAAGTCAAACTCATTGCAGCAATTGAGTTGACACCATGTCCGGTTATAGTTAGAGATAGGAGCTTACTGCTAAAAATGTAGTCGACACTGAATTTGGAAAAAATACTTCTTCATCTCACAGCCAACATACATCACAAAGGTTCTCAACAGTTAGTTATTCCAACAGCTGTAGTATTGGCAGAAAAAGTACTCTTGTTCAAGTAGGTGGAAAAGTTGAAGTGATATTAGAGGCATCGTAAACCAGTGATACCAGGCTCTTTTGCACCTTTCACGCGAGCATGGACATGGTCGACAGAGCACGCCCAAACTTTTCTCCACACAAAACGTGTTTGGCTACGGACACGGCGCTTTTAGGCTCAGAACGGGCGACTGATCTTACAAATCCGGGTGATTTAGGGGTTATCTGACGTCTGGTCATCGACAGGAGATGAGATATTATGTTTAATCACAACAACCGCTGGAAGTACAGGCAGATGCCGGAGCACGTGGTCGGTTCGGCTTAGTGACCACGCTCCGGGTTTGGACTGTCTGTTTTCAGACTGAAAAGTGTGTTTGACTGACGGGGATTGCTTAAGTGAGTGGAAAGAACAGAGTTAGGTCAGACGTGCGAGTCCGTGGGTAGTAAATATTTATCAGCGTGTTTGCATCGCCCGCTCGGCTGGTTGGTGCTGAAAGCGTGCGTGTGATTGGTTGTAATTGGCGGCGATGCATATATATATACATGTCCGGTATAGTGTCGCGGTAACGCCGCTGTTTATGGGAAGGCTCGCCTGCATCTCCGAGATCCCATCACCGAAGGCGGCCAGCAAACTGACCATGTCTAACCCAATCAATCCGTGCACTTGGAACCTATTAATTACGCGCGCAAATCGAGACCCTGCATTAAGCGGGGAACCTCCGACTAAGCACGGCGTGAAGCACACCGCGTCCAGTGCGGTTAGTCCTGTTGGCTCTCCCCGCCTCAACCTCCGATCCTGGCTATTCCCTCTCGGCGGCGGGAGGCTAACCCTGATCCGCCAGGCTCGACACCTTCGCCCCCTGATCGATAGCCCTGCTAGTGAGACGGGACAAGTATAATGCCGTGATGAAATGCGGGAGACGATTCCCTTGTAATACGAAATCCGCCAGACCTGAATCGAAAATCGGTGACTAGAGATCACTGTGGTTCTCAGCTCCGGGGTTATGCCCCCTTCATAACGGCGTGGCCCGGAACGTGCGTTACAACACTCCCTCCAGCTAGCAATAGATACCCCGCCGTCAGTTTATCCTATCCCATTTTCCAAGAGCGATGAAAAAGTCTTCTCCCTTTCGATAATATCGTGGCAAGAGATCCCATTTGGGGCTTGGGGACTCGATGATTTATCACCAAGCAAAGCTATTACGTCAAGTCAATCAGTGGAGGGTCGTGGGGGACCTCTCGGGGTGAATGGCTAATTTCTGCCGGGCCGTTTTATTGACTGCCTGGCCCCGACATAGTCACTCCCGTTCGCCTTTTCCAATCTCCGACTTGAAAAATTTAACACTGCTTCATAAATAGGCTAGCAAGACTCACCTAAACTGCGATAATTAATAGGACAAATGCGCGCGCGGGTAGCGGCGAGAGAGGCACCTTCCCGTAATGAGATTACGCAAGTGTATGTTTAATTGGGTCTGAAATTCTCACGCACGTTCATCACTGGTGGAGAAGGTGCTGGGGTGAGGATCGTGCCTCATCTGGTGGCGGGGAGGGCGGACTGGGTCACCCGACCGGCCACCGACCACCAACACAGTTGTCCTGCGACTGGACTGAGATTGCGCTTTAGGACCGAGGGTCATGTTTCTGTCCAAATTTAGAGGAAGTCCTCACATACACATTGCATACACGTACACACACACACACACACGCACGCTCGCACACACACTCACAGACATACAAACACACACACACACACACAAACACACACGCACACACACGCACACACAAACAATCGACGGTCACAACCAGTCTAATTGCAAGCCCTGACATTCAGATGAGTAACCAAGAGCCGCCCTTTACACCTGCTGCCTTTATAGCACACAGTCTACATAACCTATAACAGCAAATCTGCGTTATATGACCTGTAAGAAACCTGCGGCTTGAAGACTACACACACAGCAGGTGAGATTCAGCTCAGGTACACGCTGCGCTCCATCTCCCACCTAAGCGGCTTAACCGAGCATGTAAAGCGGACACTCTACGCCCTCCCGACCGCCAGGACTCGATTTGCACTTAGTTCTTGGCGCCGGAAGCTTTCTGACCTGCCACAACCAGGACTGACACTTCAGACCTTCGCGTCGGAGGACGTCGCCTTTGAGGCACAGGAGAGCTGGAGGTTCGCGGGAACGGTTCTACCGCGATCCGGCAAGTTCCCGCCACAGATGCCCCGGTGAAATCGCCATATTGATTTCTCTGATTGACTGCGTCTGGCCCGTGGCAATTTTCTGCCTCTTTATTCCGATTTCCGAAGAAAACAGCCGTTCATGACTTATCTACCGGGTTGGCAGGTAGGTTTCCGCGGAGGAGGATCACTTGGCGCCGCTATATAATCCCGCTCCCCGCCCGAACGATAATCTTTGTTCCATCGGCGGGGTTAATCTTGTAACCAAAAATATGATGGCCGTTATTACCACACAATGAATTTGTGTGCGTATTCACGGGCGGCTGGCTTTGATTGACAGGACTGGGATTTCAGCTCAGTGTGATGCTTAATGCAGTGCGATGCCTGCCGCCCAAAAGCACAATACGGAGATTCTGCCCCTGTAATAAAGGAGGAATGGATTGAAGTGTAAGCGTTTGGAATATCTGCCTCACGAGTCAGTGATAAAAGACCAGGTAAACGTGGACGGGAAAGTATATACATACAGAAAGGATAGTTGATGAAATAAATATCTGAAACAAAAAAGCACAGGTGAATTATGGAACTCATGGAATATTATAGGTGGTGAGAACTCTAACGAATCACAACACTGCACAAATCGATCGGAAACGAATGATAGGAAATCAAGGAGGAGAAGAACACACAATATGAAAGAAAAGTAAAGAACACAAACTGTGTTTTGCTGCATTCATATTATGACGTCGTCAGTGACGTTTTAGCACTTTACCAAGAATTTTCTTCCATTGTGGAAGAGAGAAAAACATCTATCTATATTTCCCACCCTTTTCGTGTAAATTACTAGTAATATGAATATTGCTCACTATCATTAACGATAAAAAGTGTCAGAAAACATTCCTGAAAACGAAGTTTCATCATGATCACAAGAACGAAATGTCCAGTCCCCGTCACCCCAGTCTTCACTCCCCGTGTTCTGTACCAGTCTCAATCCCCTCGACACAGAATCAGGGGAAGCCTACTTGAGATTTCACGGATCCGGACTCCTGCCGTCTCTCTCAGAGCCAGTGGCTTGACTACTGCTTCAGATCGAATGGCAGCGAACTGCATTAATCTGATTAACTGCGGCCCTTGACCGAGCACTGGTGCGTGACCACTGCTATTCTTTCCACTTCTGTTTTTACATGTTATTGTGTGGAGTGGGGCTTGTAAGGTAAGTCTGTCAACATTCGCTTAACGAGCCACGCCCCACTCCAGCCAGCTCTTTGTCTCTCCCTGCCTGGTCGATCTCCAACGCCAGTGCTTCAGATACTTCAAGTGTTTTGGGGGGAAGGCCGCATTGGAAAGTTAGAATAGAGTCGCCCACTCGCTCACGCGTATCTGATTTCTCATTGGTACCAGTGTTATGCTCAATTATTACGCTATCAATTTCAGAGCCATCAAATATTAAATAAACAGTCTATGCATTTTAGATAAGATAGGGAAATTGTGCCCGGCGGCCAGAACCAACTGATTATTTTCACCCTTCTCACGATGGCGTTGAAATTAGTTTGATTCTCCCCTTGTGGTCTTCCTGTAACAGAAGAATCCGTCTTCTCCCCATCAATATTTTAGAGCGCAGTGGGATGGCGCCATGCTCACTTGGCCATGAACTAGACTATCTAGCTGGACATGTTCGCCGGTGAACGTGCGCTGGTAACGTTCGCGAGGCGAGCTGGGTTTACTGGAAAACGCAGCGGCAACATTTCGTTCTACTTTTGAATTCGGAACGCTTACAAATGTATACAGTATGGCGTAGAAAGATCCTTCCATTGGTCGTATTTATTGATATTACTTACAATCTACGGCCACGTAAACGGAATCTGAACAGGACGACAAGAATTCCAAATGTAGGGCGCTGTATCATCGCAAATAAAACTTTCAAATTGGCGCTATGGAATTTGTGGAAACAGAACTATTAATTTCAACTTACTACTCAGTATGTATACGTCGTTACATATTATTAATACCTAAAATAAACGAATGAAAAACGTCGGATTACACATTGCAAGTTTTATTTTAAATTTCGTGGTGGTCTAGGATCTTATGTGGAACATTTTTCTACCGAAGTTGGCATGTCGGTTGGCTCGAGCTCAGGCTGGGAATCTTCCACGTTTCATAACTGCATTTCAATAAATAATGTTCATCGCTACAGGCACCCCGAGTCTCTTTCCCGGGTGAAACTAAGCGTGGTAAATCTACTACTATTGCTGTA